TTGTACTTGAACTCTAACACCTTGTAAAACAAATCATTATTCCTGCCCCAGACCTGCAAATTGAAAATGCCTCAACTTTTTAATTAATACATTTCTTCAAACATTAAGCAACGGAGTCCGTAGAAATTAAATACAAAAGGTTACTAATGCATCACACCCTGAATTACTCTCTCTCTTTGAAACTGCAGCTTTGACCTTTGCAGGAAGGATTTTTCTTATTTTCCAGCTTGCTAAAACACAGGGAACATATGAAGTGTGAAAGGAAAATAAAATTGTAATATTAGAAAGGAGGTGTAGTAAGAATACTGGACCGCAAACTTTGTTTTAATTACACTTAGGTAAATCTTTTCAGTTTGGTTTGATTTTAGTGGGGAGAGTGTTGGTTTGGGTGTGTTTGCTTGTTTGTAGGGTTTTTTTATTAGTTTTTGGTGTATTTTGTTTTGTGGGGTTTTTTTGTTTTAATTTATTCTGAATTGTTACTTGTTAAGGACCAACTGAAATGCCCAACTTCATTCAATTATTTCTATAATGCAAAGACTTGGCATGCTACAATCTCTGGAGGTCTGGTTGATTTCCAAAAACAGTGACTGAAGAATGGCAGGTCATAATGGAAATATTTTACCTTTTAAAAAACACAATTGCATAAAATACTTTTGTATGCATTTGTGTTTATCCTTAATTACCCAGTTTTCCAAAACTGGAGTGTTTAGATATTATCAATAATTCTCTTTCTCCAGAGAAACACAGAGGTCAGTTGAATTTCTTTGGAGCTACACACCTTATTTTTCATCTTCCTGCTATATGGAGTTATTTGAACGAGAACCTAATTCAGTGAAGCCCTGCAATAGCTTGTCACAACTGCCTAGCTAGTTTACTCAATTGGATGTGATGGCAAAGGGCTCTTCTGAAATGCTCATGGTGGCTAAAAGAGCAAGAACTGTATTTTATTTTCATTATATTTAGTTATCTTCCTATTCTGGGCTATTCAAGACTACTTGCAACCAAAATTTTTAGCCTTCTCAATTGAGGTTCCTCTGTGAATATGTGTCAATTTGAGGAAAAGTGGCATAATCCTAGAAAACGCTGAGCAGTCACTTCATCTGAGCAGTTTTCTCAAACTTTCTTTGGAATTCTTGAAGTCTAAATGCTCTTTAGAAAAAGAGCTTTTTGACATCAATTGCCAGTGGTTTAGGAGTTGATTCCAAGCATCCCTTTGTGGAAACTCTGTCAGCTTTCAATGATGCAGGCAAAAGTCAAATATTTGCTATCAACACAATCTGTCATTGATCAATGACAGATATCACATATATGTATATGTAGTTAGGAGGTAGAAAAATTCTAAACTTCCAGGATTGTTTTGTTTTCTTGGTCAGCCAATGGTTCTAAAGGGCTGTGTGTTTCTGTTTCACCTCCCTCACACACCCAGATATGTTGGTGGCAGAGGGGCATTGTGTTCTGTGTGGCGTAGATGGAGCCTGTGGCTGGTGGAGATTTCAGCAGGTTCTGTGTGTGTGTGTGTGGGGTCAGTGCAGAGCTGAGCTTTGGGCTTGAGGTGGGAGCCTGTGGCAGCAGCTCTGCGTTGCCTGCCAGGACCCAGGGGCAGAATATCTGTCCCGGGGGAACCTAACTGAGCCTGCATTTGCAAAGCATCCCTTTGGTTGTGCTGGAGCTAAAAGCAGGGCTAGGATATTGCTGCAGCTTTTACAGAACACAGGACAGCTGAAGGAAAACAGAGAAAAACGTCAAAACAAAGCATCCTGAGGAACTGGTTGGAAACGTTCACATGTCTTTTGCCTTCTGCTTTTGTCTCCAGACCCACACTGAGATTTTTATTGCTGGTCTTACTGTCTCTTCATCAAATGGGTAACACAGGATGCTCCCCAGTTCAGTCGAGTAATATGGGAGAAAAAATCCACATGTTTATATGGAATTTTCTACATAGATTCTTTTAAAAGCTGTCACTTACTCCTCTGGAAATAAGCTAAAGCCCTGTTGGTTTGGGGTTTTGGGGTTTTTTTGGTGGTTTTGTTTTTGAGTGGTTTTTTTTTTGTTGTTGGTTGGTTTGGTTTTTTTTATATATCAGGGTATTTTTTATTTTATTCTTTCATAGTTTTTTTCGTTCTACTAGATATTATTTGCTTGCTTGTTTCTATCTCTCCAGTGTCATTCTGTGCCTTGATCAGAGATTTTAGGTAATTCTAGAAAAAAATAAACACCATCCTGAGGTGTTCTACAGGCGTTTTGGTTTTTTTTTTTTAAAGTTTTCTTTTAGTAGCCTACTTTCACATTTTCTTTTAAATAGTTACTGACTTATGAGGGGGAGGGATGAGAGCTGTCAGTGAATGACCTGTTAATTTTCCAATGACTTTGAGCTTCTTTCCCAATGCTAGAGAGCCCTGCTTTAAAGAAAATGTTTCTCTTCAGGTATGTTTTGCAGTCAGAATATTCCAAGGATAAAAAGGACTTGTTACCCTATGTAAATTGTAAAGTGTATCAATTTAGGTAAGCTTTTATTTGAAATTGGGTTTTTTTGAGTCAATACCATACAATTTCTGAAGGTAGCTGTGCTGTTGAGGACTGTTCATGTCATCAAGTGGCTCAGTGGATGTGAAACATCAGGGCTACTTCCAGTCTGAGTAGAGGCTTAAGTACCAGAAATGGAAAACTTCTAATTGCATAAGGTATTTATGGATAAGTATCTGCTGCGTCTTTGCTCTGAATGATTCATTTTAAAGTCACCATAAGAGTAAGACTATGGCACCATGTAAATATTTTCATATCCAGTAACTCATCTGGAGAAGCTAGAATGATGTCAAGGATGAAGAGGAAATTCTGGGGGAAAAAAATGTTTTATGCAATGTCTTGAATGATATCTGCCCCACAAGCTGACAGCTGCAAGCACCAGGCAGGAGATCCTCAACAGAGAGTACATTTAACAGGTTGCTTTGGGGACTAATATTAGGAAGTGAATTATCATTTTACCTTCATATAGTGGTATTGTATTAAGGGCTCCCAAATGGTAATTTAATATAGCTGAAGGTCTTTAGAAGGTTTTTATAGCTTCTTAAGTAGCTAGAAACTGATATATCCATCACTTCGACATAAAAATAGCTGGTATGAGCTATGATGGAGGTCTTCAGTTGTTCTGTATTCACTTTGGCATACTGATGGAGGGATTTTTCCCAAGATCTGAAATAGCCCTGAAATGCAGCAGGTTAGTTTGCAACAGGTCAACAGACAACTGATGCCCAGGATGTAGACATTTGGAGCCTATTTTGATAACATTGCTGTAGGGAAAGCATTAGTTTGAGCATTAATTTCTTGGCGTTTTTAAAATGCTAGACTTGTATCGTTCTTACAGAAGAAAAGGATAGTGTCAGATACTTGGAGAAACGGAAGAACAGTGTTTGTGGGCTTGTTGTTCTATTTGTGATTTCTTACCCAGCAGATCACTCACTCTCAGGCACTTACTGAAAAGAAGACTTGATTTAAACAGCTCTTTTTGTGAAGCACTGTGAGCTGGGGACATTTTTCTCCATCTCAAAAAGCAGATACTCACTATATTCATTGCTGTGATCATCACCAGTGCTGAGTGCTTAGGTACTTGTGCTTTCTTTTGAAGGCAAGGGAGACAGATTCCTTTATCAGAATCTGTCTCTGCAGTCTAAAGGAGATGCTCACAATACTTTTCTTCTGTTAAAACAATCAGGCAAAATTTTCAAGAAGCAGCATTGAGCTATGCTTTTGCACGGTTTGATAACAAATCTTAGAGATACCAATCCACATTTAAAACTGCAAGGCTTTCATCCACATTAGTGGATTTAGCACTCAAAATTACCACCAGTGGAGCTTTTTCTTGTTAGCAGTTTAAAGTTGCATTGGAGCAATGTTTCAGCAAGCCCTGCATCTACTGACAGTGGAGGGTTCTGCCTAACTTCACACTAATTTTAGAATAAAATCAGTGTCACATTTTGAGGCAGAAATTCTTTAGTTTTCCTGAATAATTGCAGTTCTGGTATCAATCAGTTCTTCTTTTATTCTTTCTCACATTAGAAGGATTTGAATTCCCCAAATTTTGTGCTGGGTTTTACACCCTCATGAACTATGAATTCACCTTGCTTGGTATACCACCAGCGCCCACAGTTTGCACCGGTGCCCATGGTAGGAACCTGGGGACAAATGTGCATAGAGCTGTGGTGGACATGGTCTGGGTGTTACCAAAACAGACTGCCAAAGTGCCCTAGGTGTGGTTGGTAGATCTACTTTCTATCTGTTTCCCCTCTCCACTGTGGCCACCTGGGTACTTCAGAGACACCAGGTGAGAAATGGGTCCTCTTAATATTAACAAGACTTTGGCTCCTGTATGACATTAAGGAAAGTTAAGCTTTCCTGAGCTGAGCTATCTCTTCCTGCCTTCTCAGGTCATGGGGACAATATGGTGGTTTTTTGCTTCCCAACAGCATTCTTATAAATTTCTGAAGTTTAAGATTTTTCTCTTAACTTGCAAATGATGGCACACATGACAAGTTGGGTACAACACAGTCATGTGTGCTGATACTTAGAAGGTGAGAAGATTTTGAGGTTTATGCTTCTCTCTATCACAAAAATGCTTGTTTGCATAAACCTTGTTTCTGTGCTGACAAGCTGATATATTACTGTGGACACACAACTGGCTGTTGGCTGATATAAGAGAGAAAAACCCCAGTCATCTTAATGCTGGGAGACTTGTCAGTATTAGAAGAAACAGATGGCTTGGAAGAGAAAAGATTAGAAGGGGGAAAATTTGAGTATTCTGGGTTGTAGTTAGATCAGTTCCAAAAGTGAAGAGGAAGATTCATTGTGCGTTTTGAGCATAAACTCTTACTTTCCTTTGATATATAAAACATCAGCTGGTTTCAGTCCAGTATCAGAGTGCTTACACAATAAGACAGTCTTAATTAGTCATTTCAGTTTAAATTGGCTGGAGTTTTGATGTTAATTGAATTGTTCTTCCTTTGCAGGGACCTCAGGGGCCTCCAGGACAAAAGGTATAGTATAAACACAATGCTGTGAAAATGATTATTCCTTCTGTGCCATATGCAAGCAGAAATGGTGAATGAAATAAGCTACTGTACACTGCATTGAATCAATTACCTTGGGTCCTGAATTTTGTTTTTGCAAAATGGAGCCATATAATGTGAGACACAAGATTTCTCATTTCCCCCATCATAAGAAGTTCAAGCAATGCAGAGCAGACTGTTTTCAATCTGTCTGCTTAGCTTTCAGGTGAAAAGGTCACTATAATTTTCTCATTCCAACACTGGTACGATTAAGAAACCAAAGTTAAAACATTGTGAAAGGTGGGGAGATACAGTTTCTGATTAAATGCATGTCTCTACTCAAGTAGATCAGTGCCATATGACTAAAGAATTGACCAGCAGAAACAAAGGACGTAGGTGTTGCTGATAAATAGTGCTTGGTCGGTGGTGTTCAGGTGGTCTGCCAGTGTCTTCCTGTTCCTTCGGTAACCTGAGACCTGACTTCCTGGGAATGCCTTCAGCATTATTTGCACTCATTAAAGCTGACTGCCTCGCTTTGATTGAGTGAGTTTAGAATTTATGGAATTACGCCATTAAAACAGTCCTCAGAATATCAGCAGTAACAGCTAGTGAGTGGTACTTTTCCAGCATCTGACTCACATAGCACCAAGGTGAGTAATTTTCTAGCTGATTTCAAAAGATTTAAAAGTTGTATGAAAGATATTTAATAAAACAGCTATAATTTGTATAAAGGGGATAAAAAGAAGAGGAAGGAATAAGTAGTATTGGCATATGTGAGAAGGGTGCCTGCTTTCCTTACTTCTGAGATAATGTTCTTTAGAGTAAAGCATCTGTTAAAACAAAACTTTTTTAACAAAAGAAAGAAAAACCTGTGATATATAAAAATATAATCCCAAAGTATACAAATTGGTGGAATTTTGGCAGCTGTGGGCTGTATAGCGTTTGCAGGATGAAGGAGAGGACTACCCTTTGTGTTTGGCAATGCAGGAATGTGGCTCATGTCTAAGTTGCCATTACAAAACTATACCCTGAGAATTGTAGAGGAGGATATTTTCCATGTATGAGATCAGCAAACCCCACGTGCTGATGAATTTTTGAATATCTGATAAACATTTACTTATCACAGTAGAATCAGCTTCATTTTACACTTTTTAACATACTGTGTTTCAGAAGAAAAATAATCCACTGCCACTGAGAGGAGGAACTGTTACACATAGGATAGTTTATTGAGGCTGATGGTTTAATGCCCTCCTGAGCTTTGCCTTCTGGTTTTCTGGAAAAATGATACAGAGAGGTGAAAATGTTCACTCAGGCCCCTTTGCAGCAGCTTAAAGCCATGGCCATGCATCCAGCAAAAAGAGACAACAAGGATACCAGAGTGGAAGCTTTGGGAGAAAGACAAGAACATTGTGAGTCAAGGAGATATGCTGGGATGCGGTGTATTATTTCTTACTGATTCAAAGCTCTGTTACTAGCTCTTGGGGGGTTCTTGAGACCTTCATGAGTTGCTTCTTTTTCCTGTTTCACAGGATTTCCCAACTCTATTAATTGACAAATATGTGCATCCATTTTGAATGCATTTCCTTTGGGTGTTGGTGATAATTTTAGTGACACCTCTAACCAAAGTAGAGAGGGAATTGCCATGCAGCAATTTTTTCAGTTCCCTTGCTGGGCAGCACCATTTTATAAATAAGAGAAGGCTGTACAAGCGGATGCACCTTTCCTGCTTTCCTCATGTTTTGTGTTTTCGCTGAATTTTCATAGCACAAGGTCCTTCAAAAAATTATCTATCACATAGAAATTTACAGTATGAGAGCTTTGTAAAAAAGATCTCTACAATGTTAGAAGTCATTATTAATTTTTTTTCTTCTTTGTCACTTGTGTTTGGCCTGTATTGACCTTTTAATGCTGATTGCGCTCATATTGGCGCAGTTTCAAAGTGTATCTGTAATTTGTACTGTCAGACTGAATCACTGCATATTATCTCTTAAAAGCCTTGAGATTGATTGGTGCCACAAGTTATTGAGCTTGAATGATCCCTCTAGAAGCATTAATAGTTTTGTTCAGGTCCTATATTCGATTGCATAGGATCAGTCTCAAAACTTATTGTGAGCATTAAATGGAATAGCATTTCAGTTTTTACATCCACAGCATTACAAAACATGAGCTTGAAGCTTGTTTCTGGAAAAGGCCATACAGTCTTTAAAATGTACAACATGAGAATATGTCTAATTAGTATAAAATCTCAACTGAAAGGAGAGCTCAGCTTGGATAAAAATGAGTTCTTGAAAAATTTATTGCAGCTCCAATAAGCAAACATTCACCATTACTTCTAAATACTGTATTATGAGATGAAAGGTTTCATGACCTGTTTAATTTGCTAAACACTGGCGTCTGTTTCCCTCCAGGGTTCTGTCGGAGTGCCTGGTGTTCCAGGGAAAGATGGACAAGTGGTGAGTTCTCTGACTTTTTCAGCAGTGCCATTATTTATGTAGTGGATTAAGCAATTTCAGGCTTGTTCACATGAGCAATATGCAACCTTATATCCAGAACTGTGACTTCAAATTGGATCCATGGAAAAGACCATGTATAATATAGCATAATGTGTTTTGTGCTCTGAAGTAATTTTTTTCTAGTTTTACCTGAACAATCAGCAAATGTAATTAATTAAGCTGAAGGTCTGGTGTTCAAATTTGGTGATGACTGACAGGCTGTAGAAAGAAATGCATATTAATAGTGTGTTACTTGAGTCAGGATATTTACATACAAAGGGTTTTTTACTTTTTTTTAACTCTGTTTCATGATGCAAACACTTTCATTGATATTGGGTATTGATGTGGAGCAGATACACTGTTAATACAACCTACAGATAGAGAAGTAAAAATAAGTGGAAGTTTAGCTGGAGGATAATTTGAAATTGAATTCTAATGATGAAAACACAGAGGAATAAATCAAACAAATAGTTTTTGAACACAACAAGAGGAAATGCTAACTTAGGAAAGTCACTGTCATAGTTCAGAATGGCCCTCCATCAGGAGAAGTCACAATAAAGCAGCAGGGCTGTGTTACAGCATTGCTAAGGTTTCTTGGCAAATCTGGGTGATGAAGTTTAAATACTATTCCTCCTTGACTGTAAAGAGTATTATCCATCTGTTGTTCTCTCAAACCTTAGCATTCCTAGTGAACTTCAAAAGCACTGGCAAGGGATGCCAAAAGGAAAATCTACCATATATATGTTTACCAGGTTCAAGCAGCAGCAGATGGTAGTGTATAAGGGTTGTGTTAGACAATTCTCTCTTCTGCTTCCCTCACAAAGAGGGAATAAGTATTCCTAGGAATTCACCCTAGGAATAAGTGTTATTTCAAATAATTTACTTTTAATTCTTCTTTTCTAAAAAAGAAAAAAAAAGTTTGTAGTGTTTCTAATAGCATAATACATAGTATTAGGCCTGTGTTTTCAGACTGGTTATAAGAAATATTGTAATAATAATTTATTTCACTTTAGTGATAGTGATAGGAATTTATTTTAAACTATTCAGAGTATTGCAGTTAATGTGAAACAACAAAATAAAATATTTAGAATTAAGTACATATATATACACACATATATATATATTTAATACCTGAATTTATAAGAAAATAATATGAAACAAATTTGCATTAAGTCCTCAGATTTTTTCCTTCATACTTTATAGCTGCATTTAATTGCAACAGGAATGGTAGACAGTACTTACCAACTGAGATGCTGTTGCTGTACATAATTCAAGTAATTTTTGTGGCCTGACTGAAATGCCAGTGAAAATTTACTTTGTGGCATATCTGTAGGAATACTTAAGAAGACTGGATGAGGTGAAGTTGGAAACTGCTTTGAATAGAACAGAACTGATGATTCATATTTTATTCAAGAACTTTATTTTTAATAGTAATCATACAAACTCCAGCCAGAAAAACTCACTCAGATGAGCAGAAAAAAATGATATTAATGAAATGTGTCAAATATGTGATAGATGTGTCATTTTGGGAGACAGGGATTTTTTTTAAGCTCTTTGACAAGGTTGTGACATGTCTATTTTTAGGATACCACATAGACTTATCTGTTGTCACACTTCAGGGGACATAAAACAATTGTGCTGGTGAACATTATGGGAAGATGCAAACACATCTTTAAGCGTTGGTTATTAATTTTAAATTGTACTTTAAAAAACCTTCAAAATTTTCGATTTATGGTTGTCTGTTTATTTGATTTACTTCAACATCCATTACACCTATAACTTTGCAGACATTTAAAAATTATTACCACTTTATTAAAGATGTCAGCATGTTTTTAGTGTTATTGGACTGCTTTACTCTTGACCCTTAAAAAAAAACTGAATTACTAAAGTGAAACATAGGTACCAGGACAAAAGCCACACAGATAAAAATAAATTGCTGTTGCATTCTTTAGTTTGATTTCTCAACTCTTGGTCAATATTGACTAGAAACCACTTCCTTATTAGAAAAAAAATGTATTATTTTCATGTAATCCTAGGCAGATGAAAGTTGCATGTTGCTATCTCTTTTAATAAATTAAAAAATTCTATTAGCTTGGAAACAGTGGTAGAAATGAAGTTTAAATGGAAGCAGTGTTTGTCTAAAGTTAGAACGTATAATGCAGCCTAGCAATCCCATGTTTATATTTTGCTATCAAAAGGCCAGTTCTTCCAGTTTCTATGAAAAAACAGATTCTCAATGCAGTGCAACACACAAGATGTTGATGAGGACCAGAGTGGTGATTTTAAGAGTTGGGCTGTACTGTGAGCCAGCTGCTGGCACTTCTGGCTTTACTCATTTAGATTCATGGTGACTTGCAGAATAGTTGGGTTCAACTTGCATGTGTGATGCGAGTCATCCTCTCTTTAGTAGTTACGTAGTTAAAGGACTTTACAAAGGCCTTACTGTCTTGGTTGCCTTTTGGTCAGTGAGCTGGCTCTGTCAGACAGCAGCATGTGCAGTGCACTAAGTTCCAAATTAATATTTTTCCTTGGTTTAAAAGGCAGTGAGTGTTAAGCACATGCTTAAAATTAAATGTGTGAATGCTTTTCTCATTTGGACAATGAAATGTTTTTCATCCAACGAATGTCAGAAGTGTATTCACTTTGCTCTGTCCTCAAGCAGTTGAACAAAACAGAGTTAGGTCATCATCATCTATGTGCCTCTGTAATTTTCCTTTTTCTTTCTTTTCACCTCTTCTTTAATTGAAATACTGAGTTAGAGGAGATGATTGACAAGTCTGACCATAGGTCTGGGAATGAGATCATAAATTCTGAGTGCACTTAGAGCAGTCTTTTAATCCCTTAACATATGAACCACTTGTCTTAGACAGTCTCTAGATATTAGAGTAAGTGTAATTTTACACAACCCACATGTTTTTGCAGGACTGTTAACTAGTAGATTTTTCTTGTATTCAGAGTAGCAAAATCCCTGCCATAAAATCTTCACACATTAGGCCAAATCCAGTGAAACTTTACAGGTAGTCTTGCAAGGACATTTACAGTCTTAATTTGCTCCTACGTTTGAGAAACTACAGCAAGTTTATCTTGAGAACAGTAACTGGAAGGGAGCTGCTTAGTAATACCTACATCTGGAGAGAGTGTTGTTTCTGGGATGGGCCAAAACCTGCTGAAATAAGGAATCTTTCTGAGTGCTCCTTTTCCTTTGTAGACTTTTGTGCAGTCCCAGGTTTCTTTCTGTCACGATGCAATGGCAGATAAATTTCCCTTTGTCCATCCCTGGCAGAAGCTCCTCAGGCACTCAAAAAGTACAAAAAACCATTAGTTCTGCATGGAGCTAGGAGGTTACCGTGATCTAAGGATATCACATCTGTACATTAATCATGTTGAAATGACCAAAAAGGGCTTCTTGGAAAGTTAAATTCTGCAAGTATAGAATATATATTCTGGTATTTTTTAAGTGGCGCTGATTTGATAAGGGCTGTCAATGACTGCAGCAGCACATAAGAGAAAAACAGAGATTCCTTAAGTTAAGATGGTATTTGGCCTGATGGAACTCAGTTTCTGGAGTTTGTGCAAATAACTCTGTTATAAATAAGAGTTTGTCTGGAGTGCATAAACCTCCCACTCTAAACTTCCATAAATCGCTTTTTCTTACGTAGTTCTTGATATTTTGGTGGGGTTTTTTGTAAGGGTATATTGAAAACAGAATGAGTGGTCAGGATAGATCCCTTCATTTCAAATTCTTCTGGTAGATTGCAATAGCAATATGATAAACCTCTGAAGAATTTTCCTTCATATCAGTAGATTCAGAGTCTAGGTATGCACATTTCTTACTGCTTTCTTCACACTTTTTGTTTCTCTAATTTATATGTATTTCCTTATTACTGTGTGCAGTGCTGTGTAGGAACACATTTTGAAGGTGGCAGTATCAAATTTCTTCAGTGAGATGAGGAAGGGTATGCGTGTACTAACATTTTTTTCAAATAAAGGGAGGGAACATTATAAATGTAGTTCACAAATTCTCAGACAGGTTTGCAGGCCAGCTGAGTCTTGTTGAGGAGCCTTTCTACTTAATTTCAGTTGGTGAGTGGGCCAGGAGAGATTTCCAGTCCTTAAACAAGCAATTTTAAGTTACTTTTGAGGGGTGCAAAAAGCAAGTTTAAAGGAATTGAATTGAACCTGGTTTGAAATGGAAATCATAGTAATATACCTGAAAAACCTCTTTTTTACCCTCTGTCCTCATCTGTGTATTTTAGAGTAAAATTAGACTGGATTAGGTTTGGGGCCTCTTGTGTTTCCTTATCCTTAAATTGATTACATTCTAGTGACTGAAAAATATACCAATACTGACAGCCTTTCTTTCAGGGTGAGGTGGATATCAACCAGCTGGTGTAGAGAGTTATGCATCTCACCAAAACAAAACTTATTTCAAAACTAGAGCCTCCAGACTGTTTTTCTGTTACAAACAAGAAAAGCTGGGGCCTCCAGCCATGTTATTTTTAGCTGATTAATTCTGGATATGAAGGTATATGCCTCAGGGGCAGAAAGCAGTCCAGTAAGGAGAAAGATGCATTTTGCCTCAACTCATTTAATATGGACTCTGGTGGGTAATACATTTTTAGAGCTGTTCTGGAGTAGATTTTATGAGTTCCTATTGACAATTTTTTTTTCTCATATTACCAGCAGAGCCTAAGCAATACACTATACACCTGAGTACTCACCAAATTCATATTGACTTCAGTGTAAGCATGAAGACTGCCCCTACCACAAGAGTATCTGAGGAAACTGCTACACTTATTTATTGAACAGAGTGCTGAAAGTTGTTCTTTGCCCAAATACAGGAAAGAAATAGTGGGTTGGTCAAGTTACACAAAGGCAAGTTGAAAATAACTTAATATGAAAAAGAAGTCAAGGGTTACCTAAACAGTATTTCTAATGCAATATGTTTGCCAGTGTGGGGCGTGACGTTTGTGCATCTGGTAGTTTTGTTGCTGCTTTGGTATAGCAGGACCTTGATAGGCAGGATGTTCAGATAAGATGCTGCTGCTACTCCAGCATCCCACGGAGCTCTTGCTCTTTCCATCATGGTGTCAGTTACGCCAAACATTGCTGAGGTGGCATTTGGAATTCACAGCCCATCTCAGTGCCAGGAGGGAGAATTTTATTTTTATTTTGGTGCCTCATCATGATGCTTGTTGCACAGGACAGCTTATGCGGTTCTTTAGCTGGGAATAAAAATGCAGAAGGGCAGAAAGGGCAAGTAACACTTCCTTTAAATGGAGTACCAAGACACTTCACACCTCGCTATAGCATCTTCCCCACTGTCCAGCCCTTTTAGGGAAAAGTTCCAAGGGGATGCTCTGAGGGTACCTTTACACAATTTCTCTGGGTCTTACATCTTTTTCTTCTGTGAGGGTACAGTTAAGCCCTTATTAATTCTCTAACTGGGATCATGGGTTGTTTTTTATAGACACCAGTAAGTTTTAGAATTATTGCCATCACTCTGTTACTGATTATTTCTCAAGAGTTCATGACTGAAAAAAGACAAGCTGTGAGCTAAAGTTAGATGTACTATAGAAAAAATTATTCTTTAAATGGGATAAAAATACTGTTCAGGCTGCTCTTGGAGTACTTTGTCCAGTCGTGGGCTCCTCACTACAAGAAACACATGGACATACTGGGTAGAATCCAAGTAAGGGCCTCAAAGCTGATCTCCAGAGGTACCTTCTCAGTTCAAGCATTCTGTGATTCTGTGAAAGAAGAAGATAAATAAAAATATGTGGTCTTGATTTGAAAGCTAGCTGATGTGCAGGAGACAATTGTTTCTGCAACCTAGCACCTTTGCTGTCAATGCAATTAAAGAGAGACTACAACAGCAGTCAGGAAAGATATTAGCCATGGCCTGGTGAATGTAAAAAACATGTGACATTGAGGACTTAGCTTTATGACTTCTTTCATTTTATCAGGTTGAAAAGCAGTCTGATTTAAATTGTTGCAATGAATGACACTGTTGAATGTCTGGTGTTCCCTTACATGCATCACTCCTTGAATAGCATTGTCATCATCCTCAGCCTCTTAAAGGTCAGTTGTGCTTTTTGTTCATCTCCAAAACACTAACCTATGAGGCTGAAGTGTACTTATACAGCATTTTACACTCCAGCTTTACTCCTATAGCATTTTGACCTCTGGTTTTAATACATGCTTTTAGTTATAAATAGATAAATAAATAATAGTAACTAAATGGAAGAAAAATAACTGACTATACTTCCTAACAGAAATATTTTAAATTATTTCCATTTCAAGAATCAAAATATTTTTTTTGGGATGAACATGTCTAAAATGACACAGTATCTGAGTAGGGAAGAGCTATCAATCTACTTGCCTTCAAAAGTTATGAAGCTCTTTGCTTCATAACTACTTTGAGTGGAGCATTTTTATTTTTGTTTTGTGGTTTGGTTTTTCTTGTTTATTTTGGGGGGGGGGGGGGGGGAGGGGTTATGTTAAGGCTTACTGGAATTGTAAAAATCTGCACATAAAGCCAGACTGCCCAACCTACAAGACATTGCATAGTGACAAAGGGAGGCTGCCTGGCACGAAGCTTGTTTAGCTGTGCACTGGGAATGTTCTTCAGGGGTAGGACATAGAGCAACTTATGGGCTGTACATTTTAACTTCACCTTATTGCTCCCTGATTCCTTGTACAGACAGAGAAATAGAGGTCTAACATAGAGAAAGGAATATTTTCCCTGTTCTTCTGAACATTTGAAATTGAACAATAATCACTTCAAAAGCATAAAGGCACAAGGTAATTTCTTTGTTATCCTTCTAGGTTTGCCTTCAGTCTTACCCGTTCCCAGAGCTAGTTTCTGCACTTCAGGTATCTCTGCCTAGTACTTTCAGTACTGTAAGCATAGTGCTGAGCATAGCAAAGGTGCATATAGGTCAGAAATGCGATTGCTGGTATGAATGGGGATTTACTATGACTAGGTGGCAGGCTGAGGTTTTCACTTTCTTCCAAAGAAAGTGTTTTTTTTGTTCTATTTTTGCGGTCTCCTTTTTGTCACAGCAGTAGCCCTCTGCATTCGTAGCACTGATGTGTAAACCTGGGAGGAAAGTGCAAGCTTGGAACTTTAACCTTTTGATTCGAGATTTAAGGCCCTGAAAGCATCAGCCAACAGCAGCTGTTTGAAAATGAAAGGAACAGAAACAAGCGTGTTTGGGGCATGGGGATGAGGAGAAACAAGTGTATATTCATGGGTCCCTTCTGCTTCATTTTGTCAACTGGCAATTTTCTTCAAGAGCCTTTTAGGTCAATCCTTTAGGACACTCACACCTAATATTCAACAGCTTCTAATCCTGACCACTCATATATCAAATATCCGTGCCACTTTTATCAGCCTCACAGCTACTGCAGTACAAAGGGGCCTTGAGAAGGGGCTGGCACAAGTGACTATTTAATTCCCTGAGGACTTAATGGTACCTAACATTTTTTGCTTTGACTTGGAAAATGCCTCACTAGGGTTTTGCTAGAACTTTGATGATTTTGGTTTTTTTTTTTTTTTTTTTTTTTTTTTTTTTTGAGACAGTCCAACTCTTGAGGAAATTAAAATGTAATTAATGATTCTGTTACCTAATTTAGAAATACGATGGAGTTTGCTTTCACGGACAATCAGAGCTAATACATCTCTGATTAAATCTGCCTGCAGAAGTAAGAAAGAGCTAAGTTTTTAATAGGAGACTTTTATGGAGGACTAGAAAATAAGTCTTCTTGTGTTGAGATAAAGATAAAGGAAGAGGTTTTATCTTAATATCTCTAGCTTTTAAGTAGAGGATTGATTCATCATGTGTACTAAATTTGAACACTGTGAAAACTGTTCACTGAGTTTCTGATACAAATGACTCTTCCAAATTTGATTGCTATGTTAGCTGTTGGTTTTAACTTTTATACACTTAAATAACAAAGGGCTTTTAGAAGGACCTAGTTGTAGACTTTTAAAAATCTTTCTTTGGCTGTTATTTTAATGTGCCTTGCCATGTCAGAAGTGTAATGAAGTTCTCTATGTGAGGGTTATCAAAGGTATTTCTTGTGAAACTGAGATATACATCTGCAGAAGCTTTTACATAATAAGCCATAAACTCTAGTTGTTTTACAATAAAGTCTAACCATTGCGTTATGTTGTCTAAAATGAATATCTGTTGTTTTCCCATAAATGTGGGATATAAACACTAAAAATATCTTTTAGAGTTTTTTTTGTTTGACTTGTTGGTTTTTTTTTTTCTTGTTTGCTTCTTTTCTTTATTTTTAAAATTGAAGATGGGAAACAAGATTGAAAATAAGTGTTATTTGCTGATTGACTTATAAAAATAATTTATGACACCTTAAGCTGTAGAAGAGTAATATATTACCCATTGAACATATCCAAAATTTGGAACATTGATGTAATGCTGAGAGTTTTAAAATTTTTTAAAACCACTTTTCAGCCACTTGTATGAATATAAAAAGTGGATAAGCAAAGTATATATTTAAAAATTTGAAAAGCTCTCTGTTTTCCCAAATGCTTCCATTTCTGAATCAGGCTCTTCTCATTTTTTTCATTATCTGTCTTCTGTCTGAGACCAGAAGCACAAATGTCAAAATAAATTAAGATAAGCCTTTCTTGCAGCATTTCTAAGTTTTAGGGCAGAGGAGAGCATTGGAAGTCTTGCTGGTCAGACTGTGCTTTTAAGGTTAATTGAACAGATTTTAAGAAGCAGGAATCACAGGTCTGCTTTCTGTTTAGTGTGATATCTGTGTGTTTTCACCTTCTTCAGAAGAATAATTTCTTACCTTACATTGGTTAAAGTTAATCTACCCTAACTGACAAAAGAAGTAATTTTAGTGCCCAGCTGTGGAGTACATCTTTGCAGAATCTTTTAAAATTGTTTTTATCATTACTGACCCATTATGAGAAGATTAATATATTTCATCATATCTTGCTTCATCTTTTTTTTTTTTTTCTTTGCCTCTAGGGTGAACCTGGTTTGCCTGGCATAGCAGGAGAGAAGGGAGAAGCAGGGCTCAAGGTCAGTATTGAAAATGAATTGAAAAGAGAAGCACAGAGTATGTGAGTGCATATGTAGATGACAGTTGTGCTTTCCAGCTTGGGTTTATATTCTGACTGGCTTTTAATGATCTGCTCCCTCCAGTGACCAGTGCTGTAAGAGGCTTTACACATCTCTCCATAAAGAAGCACATTCTTCTGCGGTGCATGTGTAATTCCAGTCAGTGGCACTGACGCATAGGCATCCACTGCCAGCTGAATGCAATATGCCTGCAAGTGTTTGGGAATTTGGGGACCTTTTCAGAAAGGCTTTGTTTATGCCCCTTACAATGTGTTTCAGGCTTCTTTTCAAGAACTGCTGCGGTCAGTTCTTTGACAAATGTCAGGGTGAAGTCTTGAGGGCTGATCCTGCTATTATGGAAGTTAACAGCAAGCCTCATTAGGAGCATGTCTCAGCCTGTATTTGGTACATCAGAATGACTCTTTGCACTTTATTGTTATATAGTTTGTTCTGCTGTTTTAATATTGAACAGGTGAAATAGAGCATAAAGCTTATGATAACTTCACTTAAAAGAAAACTTGACATATCCAAGATGATGGGATGTCTGGGCCTCTTGGAGGGGGTAATGCTAATTTCTAATCCCATCAACTGCGAGTGAGCGTCTCTGGTGCACATGTGCTCCTCAGCTGATTCTGTGCATCGTGCTGCCACTGACAGACATTCAAGGCAGCCTCTTTACATTTACTGACTGGCTACTTGTCCATCAGGAATGAAAACAAACCATTTGGGAGCATGACCTTTTCTTACTTTGTATACAGAAGCAGCCAAATTATGGCAGTTGATGGGATTAGAAATTCGTATTCACAGCTGTAGTCCCTGAGTTGCCTAGCGACTGCTAGCCATCAGAAGGGGCAAAGATGAGCCAGAGTGCAGCTCTGAGCCACAAATGCAGAGATGAGTTGTCAGGGTCAGGCTGGGATGCAAAAGTGCTTTTGCAGTTTCTCAAGCACATTTTAATTTTGAAAAAAAATAATGGCTATTAGCCATCTTTATGTTACAGAGGTTGTTACAGAGAATATAAAGAGCACTGAAGGCTCTTTACTCTTAAACAATTATGAATTTGTTCAAGACACTTAAGGCATTTTCTCTCTCTTGAAGAACTTTCTGAGCTGTTGACAGAATCATAAGACTTTCCCTTCACATTCAGACTTTTTGTTTCCTTTGTTTGTTCCCAAAACAAGGAGAACCACACATAGGAGCCACCTAGGTCCCTGCGGGCTGCTTCTCAAAGACATATGTCTGTTTGTCAGGATCTAGGACAAAATAGAGAGAGAGATCATCACATGTAAACCATTGAAGATTTTAAAAATAAAACATTGAAGTTGTATTGTCCATTGAGATCTATTAAATTTGCATATTTTATTGTTCATTGGAGATTTTCTTGTTGTAACATCTGAGACATTGTCATCAGTAGTGACATAATATTAGTAAGGATAGTAATACTAACATTAGTAATAGCTACTGATAGTAAAGCTAACAGTTTGATTTTTCCCTGAGTTAGTAACTTACGACTTCTTTGCTCCAATTATTTTCCTTAGGGTGACCCTGGAGAAAGAGGAGAAAAGGTGAGATGTTTAACTTCCTTTGTTGTGGTTCTCTTTTGGATAACTTGCTTGGAGAATCGCCACTGCACAGCTCCAACCTAGAATTTGAGTGGCACTGAGCAGCCTTTCCAAGGGTCAGATAATACCTGCTAATGGAAGTTATTGATCTGTGGTTACTGCAGTGGGATTAGACACAGAGTGCAGTGATTGCGTGTTAAAGGCTGCACAGCTGAGCAATCAGTCAACTTATTCTAACTATAGTGAGCGTCAGAAAATAATGAGCCTGTCTGAATAAATTCGAGTTTCACACATTTCTCATAACTTGCTTTTGATGCTCTGACACCTGTGTGGAATAAAACAATTAGGTAACAGAATGATAAAACTGCATAGTGATACCTGGATAACAAGCTCTCAATGTACTAAAAATAAAAATGGAATGCTCCATTTGTGTTTGGGTAAGTTTAACTAAGAGCAAAGGAGTCTGTCCCCATGATCTCCAGTGATGCTGTCTGGAGAGGCATGATGCTGCTCTTACTTTCAGTGAATTAGCAAGAAATTGCTTCTCTGATGTCCAGTCATACCAAGGCAAGACAAGGGGGTGGAACAAGCTCCATGCTGCAGAAGAGGAGTATAGTTCTGCTCTTCCAGGCATAGTGGCTGGTAAAAGCACAGCGAGTTCAGAGCTGAGCTTCCTCATCGGCTCACAGGGGCAGTTTGAGAAATAGCATAAGCCTTATTTTGAGTAGGAATCCGTCCACAGCCTCCTCTTCTGCAAGTATACTGAGCTTATATTTAAAAAGTAATTTGTTTGTACTGAGGTGCAATTTTCTCTTGAGAAAAGTTTACCTGTGTTTTTGAAGCTGAATTTCACTTCCAGATCCATGTAAATCTGTGTAATAGCAGCTAGAAGCATGCTTTGCCAAGGAAATTAATTTCACATTTTCAAAAGCACACCATAAAAATAATCTAAGGAAGTCTTCAGATTGTATACCCCACATTCAGAACTATGTAATTATAAAATATGCATAATGAAATAATTTCTTCTGTTAAAATTATATTTTTAAAGTACTTCAGTAATCCTTAGTTTGTTTTCAGACGTAAAAGGAATAACAATGAATTTTAATATGTAGTGATGTTTGTTACTTAAAACCATTCTATTTTTCCATAATTATCCTTCGTCTTTTTCTAAAAAGTGTGATTACAGATTCCCTCAATATGCTTTATCATGTTAAATGAACTTGGGATGACATTCCTCACTGTTACTCTTCCATGTTTCATGTATGTTTCCTTAATTAAAGTGCTGCTAGATTGTTAGCTGGTTCCCATTGTATCAGTGACTGTGATGTATAAATTGCTAAGTCTTCTTCAAATGTAATTTCACATTAAGGTTTTCAGAACCATACGACAGATACTGAATAATGTTATTTGAACAGTACTACTGGTTATCTAACCAAAGCCAGGAATGTGTTTTTAGTCTACTTAGGCTCTATTTTTATTGATATTTTTGGCATTTTAAATACTTATTGCACTTTACATGGACCTCAAGTCCCACAGAAATTTTTAGCTTGTATTCTTAACATAAAAAACATCTAACATACTTGATGTAGTCTGGGCTTCTTTTATGATTACATGACTAGGCGGAAATTAAGTCTTTTTATAAATAAATACTGTGAAACTTTTATTTTAAAATTTGGGCAATTTTTTTGAGTAGAAAATGTCTACTCAGCCACAAAAAGGTGCTATCTGAATGTCACGTTTTAACAAAAACAGTGCATAGAACTTATGTTGAAATAAAGTCATTTGGTAGCTCCTTGAAGGAGTGACCTTTAGTGAATTTTTTTTAGTTTGTGAATCATTCATGAAGGACTTCAGTCTCAGAAAGTATATGCAATAAATTACTTGGGAATCTCAGTAAAAACTACTGGGATTGTCTAACTGTCAGCTGAATTTTATTAAATGCATCTAGGTGAATGTGTATGTATTGGAAAGAAAAATGTGTTTGTAATTTAAAGTGCTGAATCATCATGAAATCATTAAATCATTCCTTCCTTGCTAAACTGCAGTGAACTGAGAAAGATGGTAGATTATACCAGCAGGTATTTTGATGCTTTGTGATGGGGGTTTTTTACAGATCTGTGAAAGGGATCACAGTTTTAGTGAGGTCTGTATAAGACATAGCCATTTCCTGGCCATTTCACAGAGACTATCTGATTAACAAAATCAGCTTGTGTTGGTAATCATGTTGGAATGCTGACTCTTCTCTGCATACTGTGTGCTTACAGAAAATCATTAAAATATAATGTGTGCTTCGATTATAGGGGGAGGCTGGTGAGAATGGACTGAAGGGTGACACAGGAGAAAAGGTAACAACACTTCTTAGAAGAGAAGAAAATGTGTGCCTTAGGCATGCTTATAGTATAAACAAATAATGAAAATAATAATTTCTTCAAAAGAAAAATGCATTTTGAGCAGAGTTTTTTTTAAAGGTGAGTGATTTGATTGAGTTCATTCTCACGAACAGCAGAAAAAAATTCACTATTCTGTCCAACTGAGCATAAGATTTCTTACTTTATACACCACTAACCTTCGTACAGAATATAGCTAGCTAGCTAGCACTCCTCTTTGTTGAAATTTGCATGATGCAGAAGCTTTGGTCACAACCTGCCATTTGGAACTGTCCCTTTGAATTACAGCTGTGTTTTCTGATATACCCTGTATCTTTCCCCCTTCTTATTTTCATCAAAGAGTGGGACCAAACCAGTATGGGACAAAAATTATGGTATCATGATAGACAACTTCCCTCCCAAATTAGCAGCTGGAAAATCAAGAGTTGACAATAAACATACTTTAACTCTTTATTCCGAGTGACATCAACAATAACCTCACTTTATACCTTCTTAGTTCATTGTTGCAAAGTACCAAGATGTTGTAGAAATCACCAAAAAACCAGATTTTGTCAAAATTTTTATTTTCCTGAGTTTTATGTGAGACACATGCTCAGAAAATTGAACTGGAGCTTTCAGTGTGGTTTCCTTGCACAAGCCAGTCTTTAGCAGTCAGGGAAAAGGCTGTGCTGGACATGAGAAAGGGTCAGGCCTGTTGATCTCTTCTGGCCATCTTTTTGAACTCATATGCTTCTAAAAAACATTTAACGACTACACTTGGGCAGAAATATAAGCACTTCTTCTTGTACCCCTGCATCTGTAAGGCTTAACCAACTTACAGCATTTCAGTTCAAGGAGAAATTTATGATGGGATTCATCAAGCTGGTAAGGAATGCATGCAAATCCCTCAGGAGCTATCATTTGGGTACAGTAAGTCTGCACTTTGAAGAGCACAGGATTTTTAAGGCATATTCTAAAACCAGCAATTAAAAGTAGACATTAGATTTAAGAACAGTCAAGTTACTTGATTTTTGGAGTTAATTTAAATAATACTGTATTTGCAGTCATGCTTATTAATATAGATGGAAGTCTTAAGAACCTTATTTACTTACTTACACTATGTATGCTGGTAACATAATCTTGATCCACTCTTATGTGATTTAAGAATATAATCTGCTACGAGTCTGAATTGAGATTGTTGTTCAGATAGATAGTTCTACAAGAAGTAAATGGTAAGTTTATAATCTCTCTGGGAAGCCTAGTGCAGCTTCACCTGTTGCTTTTCTACTTCATTAGCCTTGAGGTTGAGTTCGCATCCACAAGGATGCCCATATTGCCCTGTGATCAGTAGCATGCACACCTCCCCATTTGGGATTGTTTTTGAGGAAAAAAAAAGTTCTCTCCTTCTTTCAGGGGGAGATCCTTTCTGCTCAAGTATAGTTTTAAATACTGCTGTGTGAACTTTCAGCAGTTAGGCAATCGGGTTGGGATCAACTTGTGGAAAGTAGAGGTTCTCAGGAGACTTCTTATATTGCTATGTCTGAAGAAATTTTAAGACACCTCCTGAACTTCATAATGCAGAAGTCTCCCATCTCTTCTAGGTTTCATATCATTTTCAGAGATGGGTGGTGACATGGGAATCTATTTTGTTTGTTTGGAGCGCACTGCTTTAGCCGTAATGGGTTAGAGTCCTCTGCATTCATTTTGCCAGACTTTGCAGAGCTGTGACTTCATTGACTTTCAGTATTTTTCTTGTTTTTCCCTGCCTACAAGACAATCTGCAGCCTATTAAAAAAGATACAGTTCTTAGAGGAGAGCTGCAGCTTAAAGTATCTGATAGGTAGCTTTGCAAACAGCACTTTCTAGGGAGATTATGGGGGTGGTTTTTGACAATCACTTAGGAGTATGCATTAAACTTGGTGTCATTACATTACACTTGAGCTGCTTAACAGGGTTTGTATTCTTTCCTGTTCTTCAGCATAGGGGGAGGTTTTTGCTCGGGAGATTTAATCCATACTCTGTAAAACTTAAAAACATTTATTTGAAAGCTTGAATGGAATTTCTGTGAAAAAATAATAAATTTTTATTCATGTGGAGGCAGAGTGAGATACCACATGACAACAGATCCAGACTTGGTTTAGGAGCAGGTTCCTGTTTGTGAAAAAAATGTACATTTGTTTACTGAACTGCTGTACATAGTAACACTCAAAAATACGGACTTGGGTCCTTAATTCTTGACCTAAGACTTCAGAATTAAAATGTCTTTGTTGAATTCTTAAAGATTATGTCAATGCCAAGCTTGAGTTCTTGCTTCTGTTCTTCCACTGTAGCCTTGGTTCCTAGAAACTACCAAGGATCTTCCTTCTTTGTACATGTTCCCCTGCTAAAGTTTCTTTATTAGCAAACTGTCTTGACTCAGCAGTGAATTGTGACATACTATACCATAATTTTTTTCTTTGACCTAATTTTTATTCTTGCATGAAGGTGGATTATAAATATTTTGTGTCTTATCCTCTCCATATCCATCATTGCCCTTTGAAATATTTAACCATTTAATGTGTTTTACTAGTTGCTTTGGCCCTTTATAGCTATAAAAGGTTTTGAAGCTTTCAGGTATACATGCTTGTAAGGGATATTAGCAGTGTCATTCATGCATGTCTATTAAACTGAGGTAGCTCAGGTTTCCATGCATGTATCAATCTCATAATACTGATTTTTGTGTTTTCTTCACTCACTGCAAGCTGCAGTAACTGCGTATTCCTATTCTTCAGAGGCTAGTGAGCATGTTAACCAGTACAATTTAATTTTATAGGACCATACCAAAAAGATACCATGCCCAAACCAGCTGTAAAGCTATGGCATTCACAGAAACATCAGGAATGGGTATCCTCTATTTGTATTTTGTACAAAGAATATTAAACGTTTATACTCTGCTAATACATCTCCACAGTGTATTACAGTACTGACTTCTATCCTACCTATGTAAATCACTGGCAGGCTGCTCAGAGGCCTGAAGTTACTGCTATGTAAAACTTGCTGCTTTCAGTAAACAATGTACATTTGTTCTGCATAAAGAATAATTAAACAATTTTTCAAATAGAATCACGCTAGTCATCTTCAGTAGTATGTAGCCTAACATGCAAAATTTTCAGTAGGCTTTTTTTTCTTTTTTTCCTTTGGCATATTGTTCAAGACAAGGAAAAAAAAAAAAACAGCTAATATTCTGTCCTGTGCATATCAGTGCCTATGAAATCCAGTCAACCCATAAAAATGTAGACAAAGTTTTTGAATGCCAAATGCCCTCTCAGAATAGAGACCTTTCCTGATTATGTAAATTACTATAAATGTCTCATCTTGTAAAGTATAGCCCTTCATGCATTAATCTGTCCTTTTAAATGCACTGGAGTGTTGAGGAAATAAAACTGTGACCTGTCCTGATGAAGATAAACTCATAGGTCACTGGGGTTTTTTTTTTTCCAATGTGAAACTTCATTAGCACAATGTTGTCAATTGAGTCCTGACACTTGCCATCTATAAAATTAGGTCAAATGATGGCTCATATTCTTTGTAAATAACAGTGAATTATTTTTAATGTAGATCAGCAATCTAGAGATGTCAAAGTATGTCCCATATTCTGGCTGTGTGAGGTACATTTATACAATATCTGCAGTTATTAGATCTACATTATTAGTTGTGAAATTTGAAGTTAACTATAATAGGTGTTTGGGTGAGTGAAGCTGAATCTCTCTCTACATGGTCTTGGAAACAACACTGCTGCTTTTCTGAATCACGCTGGTGTAATCAATTAGTTCAATGCCTATGTGGTAGCACAGAAAACAGGCAGTCTTGCTATGCAGATATTTTGCTATATAATGTTGCTATACTCTTACATGATTTATGTGTTTCCTGGAAAATTGTTTATGTAGTAAGAGTGATTATTTCTTGTGGATTTTGTATCAGGGTGACCCTGGCTCTTCTGCAGCTGGAATTAAGGTAATGGAATTCTAAAGAAGTTGTGCAGGGAGAAGAGGGGTGGTGGGTCCATTCACTGTGTTGCTTCACAGTGCCACAGACATTTTGGGTATCATTTATATTATGGTTTTCCACAGCTCCATCTTTAATTCATTTTCTCAGATCTCATGTCTTCGTCTATTTTCTTTTAGGGTGAACCTGGTGAATCTGGGCGGCCTGGACAAAAGGTACGACTTGGAAATGTTCAGTTTTCCTTTTCTTCTGGATTTGTGATAAATGATCCTACATCTATGTTACCAGTGGCACTTACCTGCACTGGGATGAGCCCGAGACAGTACAATTTAGCAGCCCAAGGCTTGTACATATTTGGTTTATGTTTATCTTGTATTTTAGAAAGGCACAGGAATGATGATACTAATTAACATGAAAAGTAATTTTGACTAACCCACCTTCCCTTTTAGCCCTAGCATACTTCTTGCATCAAAAGCTTACCCCATTGAGCTGGTGAGACTAACAAAGAATGGCTCTGCTCCTTGGGTCATCACAGACTAACTCTGCATGTTTGACTATTAATCTTCAAACTGTGGTACACTGTTAGATCTCATCAGGACGAAAATAAATATGGGTTAGAATCCCTTTCACATACACCTGTGAGGGAAATCAAACCATCAGTGGCACACAGTGTGTTTGGAAGGACACAGACCAGGTAATGCTGTTCTGTTCTTCCTTCCAGAGGGAAATTCCCCTGGGTGCTGTGTGGCTGAGGCTGCTTCTGCAAGGAAAAGTCCTGCAGGAGTTACAATAACTGTGCTGCACGAGGCCCTGTGAAGCTGGGGAATGTGCTCTTTGAATGCACAGTACATCAAACACAGCAAATGCTGTGCCTTCAGCTGCCTTTTGTGAGAGTAGGGGTAGGTCCTGCAGGGAGAGCAAAGAGACAATGAGAGAGCTGGACTTCCCCATTGCAATATTTGGTTTCCCTCTGGAGCCATTGGCACTGTTCTTGCCTTTTATAACATTGAAAATTTTCCACTGCACACTGCTGCCAGAGTTGAACAGAATCCTTCTGCCAGTTGAGATATTCCAGACAGACAGTCAAGAGCTAAAATTCTATATAGTGGATGGCAAGACAACCATTTTCTAATACTCAATATACTTTGGTGACTAAGCAAAACCCCAAACCACATATAAGTAAGGAATAAATAAGAAGTTAGGTATTTTTATTTAAGAAATTATAACTCTCATCAGAGACTAAATAAGACTATTATGGTGGCAAATGCAGTTCCTTAGTAAAGTGCAGTTTTAATTAGGAAAGGTAATCAAAGTAGTTTAAAGCTATCTAATCCACAGAATCATTCAGTGTTTGCATTCTGCAGTGTATGCTTTGCTTGGCTAATAAACTAGCAAATGCACTTAAGTGCCTGTGGAGATTCAGACTCTCATTAAGTGCCTGCCATGGAGGGAAAATTAGCAGTGATTTATCAGCAGACTCCTGGTTCTCAGTCTCAGGCACTCAGATTTGATCTAATTCAAGCAACATGGATCCGTTGCAGCAGTTCAGACTTGCTGTATTCTCACCTTCTTTTTGACACCAAAGTGGGGCTTAGTGTCTTCCTTTCATTCATCTCGTGATTTCCTGGTGTGTCACAGCTCCTGTCCCAGCCCCAGCCATCAGCTCCCACAGCATGCCCAGTCAGTGTGCCTCCTCCAGCCAGGTGTCCCATGTCTGCTGCCCTGCCCCCCTGCTTACCAGGGACTTTTTCACACCACCAGGGGTTGTGAGAGGCTCTTTATCCAGTTGGAGGCATGTCTCTGCATCTACATCATCTCAATGCTTTTCTCCCTCTCTGTGTGCCATTCATATTTCTTTCCTGCATCTTCTTTTCTTTCTTATATTTTTCCTTTTATCTTTTTCTAGTTGTCCCTTATCCATCTTCTTAGGACAAATAGGTGTCGAGCTGCCCACTCAAATACTACTTGCATGAAATGAAATATGACAATATTTCAACAGTCTGACAAGGCTGTTGTGGGCAACATTGTGTGATGAGGTGACACGATGACCTGGTCTGCCAGTATGTAATAGAGTTAGTGTACAGCCTTGGTTTCTTTAAAAGTCATTCTTCTCATAAATCATACTCTGAATTTTAATATTAGGAAAGGTCCAAAAAAGTAAATACTCTGCATTCTCTATAACGCTAGTGCTGTAATTAAGAAATAATTATTGATTTTGTTGTGTTTCATATTGATGTACTTTTAGGGGCATTTTAATTGTTTTAGATTACTGTGGCTCTGAACTGGCTTTGGTGGATCCTTTCTGCTTATTTTGTGTGAGTGTATAGGGGTTAGATCTGTCCCAAGGCTAAAGAGTAACCTACTGCAGCAGCACTAATATAATATCAATTATAAATATTCCAGTTCTGTGCTTGCAAGGGAAACTTAGTGCCTCCATAATAAGATGGTAAAAGTTGATGGTGGTAGCGCTGTATGTATGGCTGCTCATGCAAAAAGTGGAAAGACAAGAGTAGGGGGATGGAGTTAAAATTTTGTTAGTGCAGTGGAGCATTATTCTTTTTCAAGAATAAAAACCTATTTTCTGCTTTAGAAAGTGATAGTCAACACACCAAAAAGTGTCTATTGAAAATGGCATCCTAGCCTCTCTTCTTTCATCTGAATTTATAGGTAATATTTTGAGACTGGAATCTTTCCTGTGCTTTTAGGCAATTTGAACAGTTAGAAGTTTGGAGAAACTGAAACAGACAAAGAAGCTGTTATCAGATCCTTCTATACCACTTAAAAATCATTCCGTTTGGTGAAGTGATTTGCAGACCCTCTATTGTGTTTTTCATTTTGTGGCAGAATGCAATTTTGTTATGAGTGCTTCAAGTCTATGTAATATCTCTGCCTCAGAGAAGTGTCTCTGGGCAGTGCAGTTTGATGGACAGCTGTGTTATGTGTAGGTGTGTTTGTTTGTGTGTGTATGCATGAGTGTATGGATCTATGTAAGCGTGTGTGTACACAGGCACAAAAAATATTTTAATAGCACAACCTGTAGGTATCAGCCCAAACCACAGAGTTGAAGTCTGGGTTTCTGTAAAGCCTCATGAGTGTAAAAAAATCTGGAATATAGTTCAGTTCATTATAAAGGTAAAAGTTGGCTTCAGAGTTCAAACCTGAGCTTCCAAAAAGTTCAGGGAATATTCAGATACAAGATGCTGGTTAGAATCCATCTCTGTATTAAAATAAAATCCCCAGCCTTTAAAATAATGCTTTATTCATGTGTTATTACTTTTTTTTTTCTGTTCATCATCTTTATTTCCCTATACAACATCTTTCCATTTAGCTGATATCTCAAAATGACCATTTGTGAGAATGTTGTCCTTCTTGTCTTAGACTAATTCCAAAATTAATACGTTCAGTTTTCAATGCTTGCTACAAAATTACTTTGCAAATAGAGTTCTATAGGTCTTTCCATTGCAACTTTAAATAAGCAAGGCTTTTCTGGGTAAAGCAGTAAAAGATTACATTCCCACTATCCTTCCTTCATGACACCGTGTATGTTCACAGATAAAGAACAAGCTCTGAAATGATGCTGTGGATAGCTCTATAAAACTGATGGCCCAGTTATAATTAGACAGTCCTGCTTGAATTGTGCAATTTAAACCAAGCTCTTCTGAATTGCTTTGTAGCTAAATCAGAGAGTCACACAGCACAGCATCTAGCTCAGAGTTAAAAATGGAACAGAATTAAACACCTGTCATAAATATGGAATGTAAATGGCAGTGTGTAAAATGAACCAGAAAACTGCTTGTTTTCTTCTCTTTTGCTGAAGTCTAATGTGAATTCATATTTGGCTTTCCTGACATGGATTTTCAGCCCTGTGTGCCATCTTCATGTTGAAGGTTCCCAGAAGATATCTTAAGTTCTTACCATGACTCTTACTAATTGTACGTTTAAGTCACTCATTTTGAAAAAACCAATCCTGCTGGAGCTGACTAGCAATCATTTGTGCTCTTTTATCTTCTTGCAGAAATTATGGGACTGTTCAATGCATAGTGACCCTAATTGGATAATCTCTGTAATATTATGTAATTTTCCTGTGTAGGGTGAACCAGGCCTTCCTGGGCTTCCTGGACTCCCTGGAATAAAGGTAAATACTATAGTACCTGTTGTACTGGGTGGGAATACCACAAAGAGGGAGGAATGCAAGAATGTGGCTCAAATGGGCTTACTGTAGTGTCTTGCATCTTTCTCTGTTTCTGAGGCATTGAACTGGGGTTTTTTACAGGAACTTCTCACATGGAAAACCAGTTAAGTGTCTTATGAGTAGGCAAACAGTGTATCTTACATTAAAATATGAAGCAGAATATTCTAGTTTTTTTCTTTTAAAAATCTAAAATAGTAGAGGTTTTTATATTTTTTTTTCTTTAATGGAAAAGTCTTGTCATCAAAGTTATAGTTGGTTTCCACTTTGTGTGCTTTCCAGTAGCAATATTCTACTGAATTAACCAAGCCTTCAGCCAGAGAACTGCACTAATTATAGGCAACCTGGCTCTGTTGACAGAAATACTCTGTGCTCCATTACATAGCAGTGATTTCCACTGACAAGTCAAAATGTTTTGATAATATTCTATTCAGTGTTAGCTACAGTCCCTGACACAATACTTGGTTTAGTCCCTGACTTCCAGTTTGTCTGGAATCTTTAGGTAAGTTGATACAAAAGACACATACTTGGTTTAGTTCTAGCATAAGTGGTTGCATTAGGATTTGCAGACACTTGCACAGTTTGAGCTGTAACTGTGTAATTCTGCACAGAGGGAGCAGATTCACATATCCTGAGTGAGTGCAGATCGGAATGGCCACCACTTTTCCTTTGTGTCAAAGACTGTCCTTTCAGAAACCAAAATCTCTTTGAAACCTTTTCTTTGCATTCCAGCATGATCCTGTGTATGTCTCAAGGAGAAAGTTTATAGGATTTCCCTCATAACAGGAAGTATAAGTCAGAAACCAAACTCTTTTCCATTGTGGTAGGATTCAGGATTTATCTCATGGAGTATAATATTTGCAGTGATTTTCTCAAGGGACCTTTGAATTGCCACAGTATCGAAGCATAATGTCCTTTCTGTGTTACTAGTGAATTATGGGGAAATATTGAATGTGCATATTAGATTTTGTGCATTGTAACAGCTTAAAATGTAGTTCCTGTGGAGGTTGTTCATTTTCTACAAGAATAAACTCCATACTGAATAGCGAAGATCATGCAGGAGAAGTCTTGTGTGATTAAGCTATTTTTATTAGGGTCTTTGGCAGCAATCCCTATTCTGTTTACTTTAACAGTGAGCAAAGAGGTAGCTCAGTTGGAGGTCAGTGGGGCACTTGCCTGAGGCACTCATCCCAGGGACACCTGCCAAAAGCAACCGGAGCCGTGGCTGCTCTTTGGGGTTCCCATGTTCATGCAGACCACATGTCCACTCATATAACCAGTAAATAAAAAAGTTTGCGTCTGAGTGGCTGCTCTGGGAAAATTATTTGTTGGCAATAAGAACGGCTCAGAAGCGCAGCTTCCAGAATCACCTGAAAGACAAAATGTGAAGTGAAAAATGAATGGTGGGAGTTTTGCCCAGTGAAAATTTGTTTCCAAATTCAATGGATACAGTGGAAAAACAGTGCAATTGCCTGAAGAGCAAAATGGAATCATTTGGTCAAATATTAATCATTTAGGAAAATACTTTCTCTTGTTTAAAATCCAGCCCAGAGGGAGACTAGTGGTGTTTCAGTGAAGAAATTTCATCTAGTGCAATACTGAATTTTGCAACCTGAATGGTGACAAGGAAGCAGAATATGCACAGGACAGAGCAAAGCATATCTGGTCACATCAGACTTGCAGGATGGTTGCTGTTCGTTTCAAGGCATTTGTAATCTCTGTTTTATTAAGCAGTCTGTAGTAAAAAACCCTAAATTCTTCTGAATCACTGAGACAATGTCTGTGGCATAAGAAGTGGTAGCAGAAACCAGAGAATGGCTGGAGTTAGGAATATGGGCACTCATCAGCAAAGGTAAAGTAGTAGTTTCCCCCCTTTTCTCATCTTCCCTTTTAGCAAAGATTTATTTGCCACCATGGTAAAATCATTATGTCAATTTCCAAAAACAACATCATTGTTATCTCATGGAGAAACAAATTTCCAGTGATCTGGTGTTGATCAAAAGCTACCTTGAAATAGCAGAGACAGGATGAGATAACTAAGTGTGGAGGAAATTCAGTTGTCTGGACTTGGAATCAGTTGGTGCTGTCATCTCGTACAAAACCAAGGGGAATCTTACTTGGAGCAGTGACTTCTTTTTCTTTTTCCTTTTTTTTTTTTTTTTTCCTTCCTTCCAGAGTGATCCTTGTTTGTTACAGGGTTTTTTTTCTGGGATTTTGGGTTCTGTTCCCATGTGGACTTTATAAAACTCTCTAAGATACATCTTTGCTACTCTAAGATTATCTTAACAGTGATGTGCAGTAGTGGTGTAATATCAAAGACCTAGCAGAAATCTCTCACAATGGCATGCAACATCTAAGAACTTGTTACAAAATTTAAGTTTCCATAAGGAAAAATTTTCCTAACAAACAGATTACACCATTCTCATGCATTTGTGTGCCAGCCCAGTAGCTGTTGGCAGAGATTTTTCAGGCTTTTTCCAAACTTTGCAAGAGGTAAGGAAAAGATCAAGATACAGGTTTATTCTACGCATTGAAAATTCCTGGATGTAGTTCTTAAATGTTAAATATCAAGTCTTGTTTCCTTAAATCTGTTAGTTGACCTTAAAATTGCTTCCTTGTGAATGATTCTCTACAGTGGCAGGCTGTATTATGAAATGTTTTAGGTAACTGTGCCCATTTACAGCCCTCTCCACAAAAGCTAAACCAACCTGTGCAAACACAAATGCTGCGCCAGGCAGTGGATTGTATCTCTCCAGCTACAGCTCATCTTTCTTCCCAAGGCTGAACAAGCTTCCCAAGACATTCACTCCTCTGTGCTTCAACATACAGGAAGGGTTAATGAACTCACTAATCACTGAGAAACTTTCAGCTTCTTATAATGCCATTTCAATCACTTAATCAATGTTCCTGGGAACCTGTAAGGACTTGGCTGAATGTGATACCACGGTCTGAATGAGTGGCAACATTGGACAGACATGCAAGTATCGTATCTGAATTCAGGGTATACAGCAGGGTCTGCTATTACTTACTGTTCTAGACCCATTCACTAGGCACATGAGGATGTTTTGGGAGTTCTTCCTCTTCCTTTTTGTTCTCTCCTCCTTTGTCAGTTGGTGCCATGGAGGAAACACAAGTGCAGTCAGTTATTTCCAAGGCAGTGTAGAAGCTCTCACTGACATACTGGAGAAACGTTTCTCAAGCACCTGTTGCTGTTTAGGAATGGCTGGAAACTTAATGAGCCCTAAATGTGTTCCACCGAAACTCAGAATATTAACTCATCGCTCTACTATCCCCCAACTGATGCCAAACAGACACAGAAGCCTGTCTGTGAAACACAAACTTCATATATCTGTTTTACCTCATAACTTTTGCAGAAGATACTTACAAAGCAGCACTTGCTTACTGTGATGGAAATCATGCATGCCTTCAGTCACTGTAATGTCAGATCTCTCAAATCTGTTGCATTGCATTTTGTGGAATTTGGCCTGTACAGTCCTCAGTTTCCTCACTGCAGTGAGAAGCCTTCACAAAACACAAACCTCTTCTCAGTAGCAGCACCTTTGGCAGGATCGAGATTTTCTATGGTATTTCTGGTATTTGTCCCTCAGATTTCAAAACAAATACTGAACTGAAGCTTACGAGCGCATACAAATTTTTATTTTATCGGATTCAAAAACACTGAACCATTGTGTGGTTTGACATGAGAAGAGAAAGGCTACTTAGCCCTTCTGCTTTTGGGAAGTATGGAAACTTTCCTGTGTTTTGAAATGCAGTGGAAGTGGCTGATTCAATAGACGTGCCAGTATGCAATGTCTTGCATCTTTCTTTCTTACATCTTTCATCAATCACTTTAGATTGGCTTCCCTGAGACTGTACTTGAGCAATGTTTCAGAAGAACCTGGATAAGGATATGGGAATTTGAATCAATTTTATATCCTTTTTTTCTTATTTTTATGAAAGCAAAAGTGGTTCTAATTATTTCTGTACCTAATTTTTTTTTTTTCTATACCTACTCAGAGATCTTATCCTCTAAAGACTAAAAGACTCTGCTCCTCAGAACATATTTTTTTTAAGGTCTAAAGGGCTTCATACTACTTTCACCCAGTTAGTTCTGTTAGAAAAGAGAAATTTTGGAGGAAATGAGAGAGAATTGTGCAGCTGGATGCATGGAAGTTAGTCTCCTATTTAAAATCTTGTAGAAAAGAGAGCAACTGTTGTTGAAGCTTATGTGTTTAAGTGCTGCTCTTACCATCTGGCAGCAAAATTAAAGGAAATCTGAAGTGAATGGTAGTTCTAAGCATTTCAGTTTGGAGTCAATACCATTTACTGCCTATAGGAAAGTTTGGTAAATTCCCCTCTTCTCCCAGGAGTTCTTGGGAAGGCTGTTCTTTTTCTAATTTTCCTAATGCATTTTTCCTTTTCTGTATTTCCACTCTTCTTGTTGTTTTTATTCCTTGATAGCATTAACAGTAATCCTGCAGGGTCTCTCTGTCTCTCTCTCTACTTCTCTCTCTCTCTTCCCCGCTCTGCATGTTCTGGGTGTAAATGGGAACTGATCTAAAAATAGGACTTAGTACCCACCTTTGGTGGGCTGGGTGTCAGAAGTGTCTCTGTCCATTGGCAGGTAAAATACATTACATGACTGTGCAATGTGTTTTAGTATTCGCTTTCCAGAATGGAAGTAGGTATACAAACATATATCTGTGTATTACCCATCTTGTTCATTGATTCCTAGCTGTCTGCTTTACATATATTATGGCAGTAATTAGCTGCATAGGGTAGACATGTAATTTCCAAGAACTGATCTTGAGAATCAAGGCCAGAAAATGAAATCATCATTAACATTGGATGGTATGCGTGTGTTAGGGGTGCTTACTTGGGTGTAAGATCTAGATAAATTCTTCAAGTTCTTATTGATCTCTCACAAACTATATCCTCGAAATCTC